ATACAGGAGCACCTGGTCGACATGGTTGCACGGTCGACCAGGTTACCTGGGTGACGAAGTCCTGCGGAGGAGTGCGACGGTCGCCCAGGCGAAGTTGGCGAGTCCGACCTCGGTGGTGGTATCCCGAGGTCGACGTGGCTGATCAGATGCAGACGTCAGCGCCAGGTAGACTTGGTGTGTGCGCTGTGCAGGTGACGAGGCTCAGCACGCCAATCATCTGCGAGCACCTGCGAAGCTGGTGCGATGCTGTACTGCGGGAGCAACGCTGGCACGCCGTCAACCTGCGACGTTGGCACGTCGTCGACTTTGTACTGCTGGAGCGCGGTCGACCAAGTCGTGCTTGAACGCGGTCGACCATGCTGTGCTGGCAGTCGACCGACCTGAATGCTAGCTCTGATGTAGTCTTGCCATGCCAACTTCTTTGTACCATTGTTGTCAACTATTCTTAGTGAAACTCTTGCCAACTTGCCCCGTGAACTAGCAAGCAGTGTGTGCACTAGGAAAACGACTAAGGACCAACGAACGCAGAGATCACACGAGCATCCGTGCCTAGCCCGTAGTCTAGCTCCCGTTGTAGTAGTTATCTCCGCACTGGAGGTACTAGAGGTGCTTCTGGTGCTGGAGGTGCTAGAGCTACCACTACTGGAGGTACTGGAGCTGGACAGCACCGCAGCCTGCTCTACTTGAGATGCTCTCGCCGCAGGCGATTCGTGCGTGGGTCGTTCTGCGAGGCAGTCCTGGTGGTGGAGGGTACGGTCCTGCTGGTGCTGGAGCTACTAGTCCAGGAGGTGCTGCTGGTACTGGAGGTGCTGGAGGTACTACTGGAGGTACTAGAGGTGCTGCTGGTGCAGGAGGTACTGGAGCTGCTGCTGGTGCTGGAGGTACTGGAGCTGCTAGTACTGGAGGTGCTGCCGGTGCTGGAGGTACTGGAGCTGCTGGTACTGGAGGTACTACTGTTACTGAAGGTGCTGGAGCTACTGGCACTGGAGGTGCTGGTGCTACTGGTGCTGGAGCTGCGGGAGCTGCTGACCCTGGAGGTGCTGGTGCTGCTGGTGCTGGAGGCGTTGGAGCTGGAGGTACTGGAGGTGCTGGAGCTACTGGTCCCGGAGGTGCTCGTATTGGAGGTGCTGGAGCTGCCGGAGCAGGTGGTACTGCTGGTGCTGGAGGTGCACGAGGTGCTACTGGAGCTGCTAGCACAGGAGGTACTGGAGGTACTACTTGTGCTGGAGGCGCTGGAGCTGGAGCTGGAGGCACTGGAGGTGCTGGAGGTACTACTGGTGCTCGAGGTGATGGCGCTGTCGGAGCTCGTGGTGCTGGAGGTGCTGGTGCTACTGGTGCTGGAGGTGTTGCTGGGGACACTGGAGGAGCTGCTCGTGCTGGAGGTACGGGAGCTACTGGTGCTCTTTGCCACCTTCTCAATCTTCCGCCAGGTGCTACTGACTTCTCTGTGGCAGGTACTACTCTTCCGTTGCTGTGTCCGCCGGCGGACCAGTCACAGCCACCGCTGCTACCACACTCCCCACTGCCTACTCCTGCTCCTTACACTGCGGTGTCAGAGTCCCTGACTGAGCGCCGAGAGCCTGAGAATCGTGCGTCCACCCCTGAGCGTCGAGAGCCTGAGTCTAGCTTTGACCTTCAGTATGAGCCTAGAGTTGCTGTCCATGCTCGTGTTCCTCGTGTTCGTCGTCCGCGTGCTCCGGCTGTCCCCGGCACTCAAGATATGACACTCCGTCCTTCCTCTGTTCCTAAGCGTGTTGTCCTACTGTTACCTCCTGCGTCCTCTCTGCCTGACGTTGCTGACCCTCCGTCTGACCTTGCTCGTGCGTCCAGTCCGACTGTTACTCGCCTTCTTGCTACGGTTGTGACGGACCCTACGTTCTCGTCTCCTGCTGCGTCTGCCCTCGTAGCTGAGCTCGTTGACTTTGCTGCAGTGTACCGCCTAGACTACCTTGCGAGTCTTGTTTCTAACCCTGTCCCTGCCTGTCCTCCGTCTGTCGGGGGTGAGACTGCTCTTGGCTGTACTGCCCTTGGCTGTGACGTTCTTGAGGACAGGTAGGAGGAGCTGGAGTGCCTTGCTGCCGCTTCACCCCATCACGCGACCATGCTGCTTGCCCCTGAGGGAGACCCGGATGCACTTGACATCCCCACCCCGCGCTCCTACAGGGAGGCGATTTCGGGTGAGTACTCCTCTCAGTGGCAGACAGCCATGGACGCAGATATGGCTTCCTGGAAGTCCACAGGCACCTACGTCGACGAGGTTCCCCCACCTGGGGCGAACATCGTCAGTGGCATGTGGATTTTCAGGGTGAAGCGGTCGCCGGGTTCTCCGCCTGCCTTCAAGGCACGTTACGTTGCTCGAGGCTTCAGTCAGCGTGAGGGGGTCGACTTCTTTCAGACCTTCTCCCCCACCCCGAAGATGACCACTCTTCGGGTGTTGCTAGACGTTGCAGCTCAGCGTGACTACGAGCTGCACTCCCTCGACTTCTCGACAGCTTTCTTGCAGGGTAGCCTTCACGAGGCCATCTGGTTGCGCCGTCCACAGGGCTTCACTGGGTCGTTTCCTGAGGGTACCCAGTGGAGCCTACGGCGACCAGTGTACGGCCTGCGTCAGGCACCCCGTGAGTGGCACGACACACTGAGGACGACACTTGCGGCTCTTGGGTTTGCTCCTTCGACTCCTGACCCGTCGCTGTTTCTACGCACCGACACTACTCTGCCGCCGTTCTACATCCTCGTGTACGTCGACGACTTGGTTTTTTCTACTGCTGACACTGAGGCACTGACCCTAGTGAAGGCGGAGCTGCAGGAGAGACATACCTGCACTGACCTAGGTGAGCTGCGGAGCTATCTTGGCTTGCAGATCACCCGGGACAGAGCACGGCGCACCATCACCCTGACTCAGTCATACATGGTGCAGCAGGTCCTTCAGCGCTTCCGCTTCACGTGGTCCTCGCCACAGCTCACTCCTCTGTCTACCGGCCACTCGCTCTCAGCTCCACCTTCGGACGAGTCCGTAGAGCCGAGTGGTCCGTACCCAGAGCTTGTGGGTTGCCTCATGTACCTGATGACGTGCACACGACCTGACCTCGCGTACCCTCTCAGCCTCCTGGCTCGCTACGTGGCACCTGGTAGACACCGAAAGGTGCACTTTGATGCTGCGAAGAGGGTACTGCGTTACTTGTGCAGCACATCGGGCATGGGGCTCGTGCTTGGAGGACGGGGTTCGGTGGTCATCACAGGACACTCTGACGCTTCTTGGGCCGACGACCAGACGACTCAGCGTTCGTCACAGGGTTACACCTTCAGTCTTGGCTCTGGTTCTGTCTCGTGGAGGTCCACTCGTTCTTCTTCTGTGCTTGGTTCCAGCTGTGAGGCCGAGATCTACGCTGGGGCCATGGCTGCACAGGAGCTACGCTGGCTGACCTACCTGCTGACCGACTTGGGGGAGCGGCCTCGTTCTCCTCCATTTCTGTACGTCGACAACAAGGCAATGCTTGCCTTGTGTCGCGAGCAGAGACTGGAGCACAGAACGAAGCACATTGCTCTTCGCTACTTCCTTGCGCGTGAGCTGCAGCAGCGTGGTCAGCTGCGCCTTGCTTTCGTGGCCTCTCGGGCCAACACTGCTGATGTCTTCACCAAGGCCCTTGGGTCTGGTGATCATCACCGTTTCTGCACTGCTCTTGGGCTTGTGCCCCCTCTGCCTCACCTGCTGGTTGCTTGACTTGCTCTTGTTGTACACTGCTATATATCTTATACCTGCATGTTTTCTCTTGCTAGGTTGTGATCAGTGTACTGCCTTGTTGTCTCGAAATTCCGTACCGCAGCACGTAGCGGAATGGGGTTCAATAGATAGAATGGGACATATGGGCAAACCCTAAGGACGCGGTAAAAGTAGAAGATCGATCGTCTGTCGCGATCAGTGTGCGGAATAGTTACCCGGTTTACTAGCGTGTAACCACGCTACATTAAGGTTTCTGTCAATAATTAGTGAGCAGTAAGGGAATGCGACTGATCATTGATCGCTGGAGATCAACCCAAAACTTAGGGGCGATCGTTACAACGACGTTTGCGCATCGTTTCGCCCATCGATCCGCTAAATCGATTGTACGACTCGATACGGGCATGATCCTGCGATATTCGCATCTCTAAATAGGTTGAACCCTCTAGAGGCTATCTCATTGTAGCCTAACAATATAATGTATAATATTTGATACACCCCCATAGGCCAAGTGAGGGGCATCAAAATTTACAAGGGAAATGAAAAGTCACAAGACCAGTCAAGAGAAGCAACAAGGCAAAACTAACAACTCAGGGTGGTACGACTATGTCGGAATTGTCAAACTGTATGTTTGTGTTATCTCTAGGCTATAGTGGGCTAGCCTACAAGGGGTACAACAAACTAGGGTTAGGACTACTTGTACTGCCCTTTCATCTCGATGACATCATTCCTACACAGTTGATTCTGACATGGTATTCAGAGCAGGATACCTGTTAGGTTTTTAGGGCCCACCGATCGTTCCGATAGTTCCTGCCCGAAGCGCCCTTGCGCTGTCCGGCCCTATCGCACAGTGTCACGCTGCCCTGCAGCTATTTGCACTGCCTGCCCTAGCGCGCTACCCTACTGTCACGCGCGCCCCTGCTGCCCGCGAGCAGCTCCTGCCCCGCGCGCCCCTGCTGCCCTCGAGCAGCCCCTGCCCTGCGCGCCCCTGCTGCCTACGAGCAGCCCCTGCCCCGCGCGCCACTGCTGCCTGCGAGCAGCCCCTGCCCCGAGCGCCCTTGCTGCCCGCGAGCAGCCCCTGCCCCGCGCGCCACTGCTGCCCGCGAGCAGCCCCTGACCCGAGCGCCCCTGCTGCCCGCGAGCAGCCCCTGCCCTGCGCGCCCCTTCTGCCCGCGAGCAGCCCCGCAGCCCAGCGCGCCCCGCAGCCCTAAACGCGCCAGCGCGCCCCGCTGCTAAACGCGCCAGCGCGCCCCGCTGCTAAACGCGCCAGCGCGCCCCGCTGCTAAGCACGCCAGCGCGCCCCGCAGCCTAGCGCGCCAGTGCGCCCCACAGCCCAGCGCGCCAGCGCGCCCCGCAGCCCAGCGCGCCAGCGCGCCCCACTGCGAAGCGCGCTAGCGAGCCCCGCTGCTAAGCGCGCCCCGCTGCTAAGCGCGCCAGCGCGCCCCGCAACCCTATATAATAATAATATTCAAAAAAAAGAAAACAAGAGGCGACGAAATCGTCTTAGGGTTGCGAAGCGTTTTGCATAAATATGATATTTTTTACAACTTGTTATACTAAGTATGGATCTTGTTTTGAAGTTCCTTTTTACTGTATTATATAGGTCCTTTTTATACCGAGTTCAAATCTCACGGAATTTAGTTGAGGTTTGCAAAATAGTTTTGCAAGTCTCGAACCTGTGACCTCTCGATTCCGATTTTATTCTCGACCGACTGCGCTACTCCTGCTATGGAGTGAATGATCAAAACATTTTGCTACCTTCTAACTGCGACGAAATTACTTGCTAACCTAGGGTTTGCGTTTCTTTTTTTCCCCGGCTCTCTCCTTGCTGGGCTAGGTTCTTGACGTTCTCCCGCCAGTCACCAATCCTCCTACCAGTCTTAAAGCCCAAGACCTGAATTACAAAAAAAGGAAGGCAAACCGTGCACAGTTTGCCTACCGAACCCACAGTTGACCTCCCGAGCCAGGCTGGTTGCCAGGCTGCCCTGTCTCCAGGTATGGTCTATGCCTAATATGTTGCATGCTATCTCAAACTGTGCACAGTTTGATATGCTCGCGCTTTTCTGGTTGTGGGAAGGACACCAACCATCATGGGAAGCGAGAAACTTTTGTCGCAAATTGGTTTCGCGAGTGAAAGTCTCTCGCAACCCAACCGAACCTCTCCGTGCCTGCCTCGGAGAGGAGCGGAGAGGGCTTGGAGTGAGCAAGAGGTGTTGCTGCTGAAGGGATAGGATGCGTACTCGTGGGAGCAGGAACATGCGCCCATGGAGGAAGTCAGGGAAACGCAAAGGGCAGGCATGGAGGGCATGTGGCTTCCGCACCAAGCGCTACCAGGGGCAACTAGACGCTGATGATTCAGATTTGCACATGAAAACGTGAGCATGCCCATTGCGAGGTTGGTGCACCCCTGCCAGTGCGCCTGGCACAGTAAGGTGCGAGTTGAGAGGGAGGTGGGTCTGACCGGGGGCAATGGCACTGAGCGCGTCCTGCTTCACAGACTGCGTCCACGCCGCCCATATCTCCACCCCCGGCGCCGCCACATCTGGCTTCACCACGTCGTTTAACTGCCGCCCAAAGGCGCGCCCTGCCGCCCCATCCAGGTCTTCCACGGGGCCCCTGGAGGAGAAGGCTGCGAGTGTGGGGGCATCGCTGTACACTGTCAGAGCAGGGGACAGGGAGCCCAGGGGGCTGGCATCACACACAGGGAAGGGCCAAATGAGTTGCTCACACACCATCCATAGCTTTCCCCTGGCGCCCCTACGGTGCCCTCCACACGCCCTGTGGGTATCGCTGTGCGTGATGTGAGGGCAGTAGAAGGCAGGGCACAGCGAGGAGAGAAAGAGGGCAGACAGTTGTGGGAGCAGTAATTATTTGTGGCAATGGCAACTTTACTGAATTCTCCACGCACCCTGTGCCCGCATGCTCAGGCGCTGATGCGGTATGGCACAGCAAGTGAGTTAAGAGGTACGGCTGTGGGCAACGCCCAGGTGGCACGTGTGTGGATGTGCACTGCTCACACCCTCGTTGCCCCTCCTCACCTCGTCGTACTGCGCAGCAGCGTCAGAAGGGGCTGCAGGGCCCACACGTTCAAGTGGCATGCCGGGATGGGATGCATGACAGCGGCTGTGCCCATCTTGGGAGCTGCGTTGATGATCACCACGCCCGCTGCCCCGTTAGCAGCCGCCACACGGCTCATTGGCAGCGTGTCAGTTGCCCTGTCAATGTCGAGGTTGTCTGAGTCGGGGCGGATGCAGATGAGGATGGCGCCCTTCACCTTGCCAGGCTCCAGGGACCCCGCCTTGCAATAGCGCGCCTGCTCACGGGAGAGGGAGGGTGAAAGGGGGGGACAGTGGGTGTGAGGCCATGTGGCTTTGCATGTGATGTGCAGGCACGTGCCCCCATATAATTTACAGGCGGGCTGGCAGGAGGAGCGAGTGAGGGTGGAGGGAGGGGAGGATGGGCATGGGGGGTGACGTACGCGCGCTCAATTGGCGCCCTGAGGGAGCAAGAGGGGCGGGGGGTGGAAGGTAGGCCCTTGGAAGAAGTGCAACTAAAAGGTGGCCTGGGTGAGAGCGAGGGCGAGCAACGTGGGGAGGGGGGTGGCGACAAGGAGAGAGGTCGGGGTTTTGACACGGGGCGAAGCATGGGAGGGGAAGGGCAGCAAGCTGGGCTTGCTGTGGGTGGCCTCAAGTGCACGCGGCGGCAGCATGGGCTGGCGGTGAGGCGCGGAATGATGATAGCTCGCCCACCGCAACTGTGTGTGCAGCACGGGAGCTGTGGATGGATGCGCGCAAGACACTGAGTGGACTAGGAATCAACGGGCCAAGAGGAGCACTGCTCTCACATTCATGTCCTTAAAAACAGTGCTCCAACGTCCGCCCCCTTGTGGCCACGTGCCTATGTAGCTGCGCTGGGCCCAGCTGTTCCAATGTGACCTCTCTCTCCTCCGTCCCTACCTGCCGTGCGATGGGTCGACCATCGCCCCCACCCGCCGCACCCTGCCTTCTTACCCGCGCTTTGGATTGCCCTGCAGCCACTGCTGCCTCCCCTTCCACGAGGGGAAACACAGCAGGCGCGGCTGTGGTGAGAGGCGGGTGGCCCACGAAGGAGAGCCCCACAAACGTGCGGTTGCCCGCCACCGTGAGCTTCGTGGCATAGCGCCGCCCAGTATCGCTGCGGGGGACAAGGGGGAGGGCGCGGATGACATGAGAGGAAAGGGGGCGAAGAGGACGGCTGATGGCACAGCGCGCACATGTGCGTGTGTGTGTGTGTGGCAGGGCACATGTTGGGGTGCTGGCGCGGTGCAGCAGCGCATGGGGTCTGCACGCCAGAGTGAGAGCGGCATGGATGCTATTGGCGGCACGCGCATGGCGCGAGCAGGGAGAGCAGGAGGAGCAGTGGGTGGCGAGAGGGCCTGACCTGGCGGCGACGGTGGTGTACCACGGCGCGGGGTGGTCCAGCATGCTCAGCAGCTGCCCGCCCATGTTGCCCGCCGCCACGGCCGTGAAGATGCCCGCCTGCCCACGCACCCCGCCACGCACACACACTCCAATGCATCACAACCACCTCTCCGCACGCTCGTGCTGGCAATGCGCGAGTACGATGGCCTTGGGCAGCGTATGGAGGAGAGGCACACGAGGGTATGGTGCAGGCAGGAGAAAACGCAGAGCATGGCGTGGCACATGATGCATGGCGTGGCACATGATGCATGGCGTGGCACATGATGCATGGTGTGGCACATGATGCATGGTGTGGCACATGATGCATGGCGTGCAGGAGCGGTGGTGGGCTCACCTGAGCGGCGTGCAGGAAGGCGATCTCGTCGGCGTCGAAGGGCGACGAGAACATCTTGCCCAGCGACTGGCTCACCACGTCCACGCCGTCCGCTATCGCCGCCTCTATGGCCGCCACCACGTCCGCCGTGTCCGCGCTGTAGCTCCCGTCCTTGCCCGCCCACACCACCTGGTGGTTGCCCCGGGAGAAACGCATGGAAAACACAAAGGAGTAAAGGGGTTAATCTCATTGCCTCCAGTGGAATGCGATGTAAGTGCCTGTTCTGCATTTGAAGCCAGCCGCACATCACACATGCATGCTCCTCTCGCGAAGGAATCCCACAGCGTGCCCCACATAGTGTAAAGCAACGACGTGGGCAGCCCAAGGCTGCTTGCGCGGGCGCCACAGTGGCAGTGTGTGGGCATACCTTGTAGATGGCCACGCGGGCCCTGGGCGCCACCCCACTGGCTGTGCCGAACGTCACGTTGCCCAGGGTCACTTGGTTCCACTGGTTGCCTGCTGCCGTGCTGCCAGTGGTTGCATGCGGAAGACAACAGGGGGATGGGGAAAGAGCAGCAGGGGCAGGTCAGCGCGTGGAGGCAGGGTAAGGGGCAGGCGGCTGCAGTGATTCCAGCGAGCAAGGGGCGCGCTCCTTGCGTGCCTGCTGTGAAGCGCGCCACGTGTGGTGCACGCAAGGTCAAGCGGCGCTGCAGCCCCACCAACCCGCGCGGCATCCCCTGTGGCAGCGCGCGCGCGAGCGCAGCGGCGTACCTGGAGGTGTGCGTGCCGTGGCCCACGACGTCCCTGGGCGACGCGTAGTCGGAGCGCCAGTCCACCGGGTCGTCCGCCGCAAAGCCCTTCATGAAGTACTTGGCGCCCACCAGCTTGCCGTTGCACAGCCGTGCCGGAAAGTCCCCTGCATTCTCCTTGCCGCACCCCCCCTTCCACCGCGCGGGAACGGGGCCATATGGTGGAGAGACCTGGAATGAGAAGAATGGGGCAGGCAGGAAGGGGGACGAAAGGGCAAGCCCAAGCAAGTGGGCAAGTGGGGTGAGTGAAATGGGGAGGTGCCCAGCAGCACAGCCATAAGGGCAGGGCAGGGCCGTGTAGCAGGACAAGTGGCGGCCACACGCCCGTGTCAGTCGCGCCTCTGCTGACCTCGTTCCCTTTGAGCCCTTCCCCGATAGACCTGCCCAGCCCCAACCTTTCCGATGCGCACAGATCAACTTTATTGAGGTTTTTCCCGCCACACGCCCACGCCGGTGGCTCCTGCATCCCCCCTGTGCAGTCCCTCCACCCCCGCAAGCGGCGTGCGCAACCCCGGTAGGCACGCGCAATGCTCAAGGACGCACGTGGTGAGTGAAGGCGGGGTTCTCGGGCCACACGCCCGTGTCGATGACGCCCACGATCACGTCCTCCCCCTTGAGCACCCTGCCCCGCCCGTCCTGCCACCGCCACATGCGGTTGCGCAATCCCAGCAGCGACGGCGTGTACGTGGTGCGCGCATGCAGTCGCGCGGACGCCGACACCGCCGACACGCCCGCCTGCTTGCGCAGCGCAGCCGCCTGCGCGGGGGTGAGGCGCACTGCTGCTCCGTTGAGCGCAAACGTGTAACTGGGGCGGGGGTGGGAGGCGAAGGTCCAATGGTGGGTGAGCGGTGGGGAAATTGGGCGCAATCCTGCATGCTAGCGCAAAGCGCGCGAGGGTGGCGGGCGGGATGGCGTTGCTCACCTGTACAGCTTCTGCTTCCTCGCATCCACTCCGCCACGTGTCAACTCCGCGTCTTGCATCGCCTGCACGTGCTGCGAGTACGCCACCACCCGCTTATCACTAGAGTCCAAACGATACCGCCCAGACTTGCCTCTCCCGCGGCCTTGTGACGACACGGCGGTGGGGCTGAGGCCCTCAAATCCACCGGTGTATGCGGTGACAGGGGGCGCTGTGCGGAACCGGACGATGTAGACTGGCGTGCCGAGGGAGAGGACGGGAGGGAAAAAAGGGTGTGGTGGGGGGCGATAGGGGATAGAGGGGGTAGGGGACAGGGGGAAGGGATGGGGAGGATGTGTTGGTTTTGGGGCGGTGTATACTGGGGCGAGGGCGCGCAGGAGGAATCGTGATTGACTTGGCCGATCACACCTTCCATCCAGCAAATAGATACCATGCAGCTGCGGCTGTGCGGAAGCGCAAGGTGTGGACTGGGTAACGGGGATTGGACAGGGGGATTCAAGGTTCGGCATCATGCTGTCACAGCAGTGGCGCGGAGCTCGCTCAACTTTGTCGGTGAATTGAGGAGCCAAAAGGAAGCGGGCGGTGTATGCGGGAGCACCACTTTCCGCGCATAATCTTGCCCCTCCAAAACACTAATTCTCCTACGCGCAATTCCTACCTCTCGACTCTTCCGCGTCAGTCCCGCTCGTTCCGCCGCCTGCATTTCCACCAGGTCGCCTCTCACCCTCCTTCCCGGCACCGCGCTCGCTCCTGTCGCCCGCCGCTGCCATCGCGTTCACGCGCTCCGTCGCCGCTCCTGCTCCGTCCGTCGCCTCCGCTGGTATAAGCGGGGGCGCATCGACAGCGGACGCGTCAGCAAGGGCAAGTACGTGGGCGGCGAGTAGGAGGAGGGCGGGAAGCAGCAGCGCGAGCGAGGGCGGAGAATGGAGGCGAGAGGTGGTGAGTGGTGGACTGCCATCATTGGTGGAAGTTGTGGTCGCTTCTACGGTGGGACAAATTGCTCGTGACACACATTGCCGTCGCGGCCTTCGCGCTCCGCTCCTGGCGCGAGGGGGCGGGACGAGGACTGTCGCGGAAGGGCGGCATATGGAAATAGACGGCGCCATTGGCCTCTCTAGCTTTGTGTTGGTGAGTTGTGCGTCCGAGCAGTCGTGACTGCGATAGCTGCTCTTCTTGCGTACAAACCGTCCTACTTCGTTCAAAGTGCCTGTATGCTAAAGGAAATGAAGAGGGCGTTATTTCAGAAAGCCGCGGAGCTCTACGAAAGTGGTTGACAGCGAATGTTGCTTTCATCAGCCGCTGCCATATTGGACCAACTTCAACAGCAGCACGCATTCCTTCGAATCCAACATTCCAGCCAGATGCTGATCTGATCTAGTCAATTCGCATTTCGAGTCGGCTTTGTGTGTGAATTTATTCAAACGTCGAAGGTGACAACAACAAACACTAATCCTCGAATCGCTGTTCCGCTTCGCTAGTGTCGAGCGGTGGTGGATAGGTATTTGGTTGAACTTCCTAGGGGCTTCAAACGAGGCCTGCTCTGGGAGTAATACAGTCATCCCCCGGATATAAGCCTAGGTGGGCTGATAATCTAATAATTTCTTTAAGACCATGGGATAATTAAACGGCAATTTGGATGTTAATACATAGAATTGTGGATCTTGCCTTTGTGGTTTTGATGGAAAAGAAAACAAAGTGTGCCACGTTGCAGAATTTAATACCGTATCACCCCGGATATAAGCGCACATGCGCTTACAAAAAAAAAAAAAAAAAAAAAAAAACAAAAAAAACAAATCAGATGGTGCGCTTTAAATTTAGTAGATATTGTTGATATAACAGGGAATCGTAGTGGATAGGATAAGACTTGCTAAGTTGTGGGAAGACAATGAAGTCTTGTAATGACCTTGTTGAAAGAGAACAAAATGATTTTAAGATAGAAGTACAATGTTATCAATAGCAATCCTAGCTAGACATGTACGCTGAGGGGTGCATTCCCTTAGTTAACTGTATTGCATTGCTACAGTAACCGCGACAATTGCTCTACTCGACAGTTACCAAGTTGCATCGTGTAACCTCCGAGTACGGTTAATGGGCGGTCAACAGTCGCGACCGTTGACTTCCTGCGACTGTTGACCTTTCGAGTGGCTTTCAGGCTGCCGCGTGCTCTATATGAGCTTAACGCGATACTCGTACAGGGGCGTTGCCTCGTTATGAAGCGATGCGCTAAGGGAAGCTTCGGGAATATAAAAATAACTGTTGGTTATTCCAACACTCCCCTTCATTCCTGAAGGTGAGCCATATGGGATTTCTTCGAGATCCCGCAGAGGTCGGCGCAGTGCTGGAACTTCTGACGTGGCAGTTTCTTCGTCAGGAAATCTGCTGCCATGTCACCCGTTGGGCAATACGTGAGTTTGACTTTGCCCTTGTCGATCTCGTCCTTGACGAAGAAGTAACGGAGTGTGATATGCTTCGTGCGGTTTACGAAGTCGGGCTTGTTCGCGATCTTTATCGCGCTCTGATTGTCGCAGAGTAACGTGAAGTGCTCGTTCATCGTCACTTTCGCTTCCTGCAGGAGCTCCATCATGTACAGCCCTTCGCGAACAGCTGCGCTGGCGGCGATGAACTCAGCTTCGGCTGAGGAGAGAGCGATGAGCTCCTGCTTCTGGGAGTTCCATGAGATGAGTCCAGCAGGTTGAAGTTGAAAAATGAAGCCTGTGCGGGAGCGTCTGTTGTCAACATACCTGCATTGTCCGCGTCTACGTAGTCGTGAAGCTGCAGGGTAGCTGTTAAGTTAGCCACGTAGGTGAGCCCGACGTCGGGAGTAGAGATGAAGTATTAGAGCGGTGTGGTGTCGGGTTCGTGATTAGGAGGAGGAATGCGAAAGGGGGTGGTGAGGTTGATCGGGGCGATTGCGAATTTCTTCGCAAGTGTTTCCGCGTATTTGGCGGCAGAGAGGTGGATGGAGGTGGCGGACTGGTGATTTTGAGACCCAGGAATTGCGTGACGTTGTGGTTGATCGTCACTACGAGCTTCTCCTTAATTTTTGCTTCGAAGCGATCGAGCAATTCCGTGTCGTCGCCAGTGTAGAGCAGGTCGTCGACGTAGGCGACGAGGAGGATGGACTTTCCGCGTGATTCCTTCCGGTACATGCCTTGGTCGTGCGGTAGCTGGACGAAGCCGAGTTCGATAAGAACGGTGTGCATGTACTACTGCCATAGGCGAGGCGCTTGCTTGATGCCGTAGAGAGACTTCTGGAGGAGGCAGACGGCGCCGTCGCTTTCTTCGAAAGCGTGCGACTGCTCGACGAAAATGATGGCGTCGACGATTGCGTAGAGGAACGCGTTGGAGACGTCGATCTGCCGGAGCGGTCGATGTTTGACGGCGGCGATGCAAATGAGAATGCGCAACGAGGAGTGCCGTCCGACGGGCGCGAAGGTCTGGTCGTAATCCACCAGGTGAGTTTGCTCGAAGCCGCGGACCACCCATCTCGCTTTGTATTTGTCGATCGACCCGTCCGCGAGTGTCTTGATTATGAACACCCATTTTCCGCTTAATATTTTCCTCCCCTTTGCAGATGATCGGGGAACCAGCTTCCAGGTTCCGCACCGCTTTAGAGCTGCTACCTTCCATTTCTCACTGTTGGGTCCAGACAGGGCTTGGCGCACAGTGGTGGGTTCCTTGGGTGAGGCGTGGCGAACTGCGACTGCGAGTCCGAGGATGCAGAGTCTGGTTTTGTTGGTTTCTTCGTAGGCGAGGCGATCGTAGTCGTGCATGCTGGTAATTTCGACAACGTCGTCGTCGCTGTCGTGGCCGTTGCGGATGGTGTCTTGCGAGGGGTTCGGCGGTGGTAACTCGGCATCCGGAGATTGCCGCACTGTGCTGTTGTAATTGTGGGCTTCACGAGTTGTATCGTCGGGATCGAATTGAGAAACAGGTATGAAGGTTGGAGTCTGGAATGGGCTTGTAAGGGGGATGTTGGAAAAGGAGTCAAATGGTATGTTGTCCGTTGCGTCTGCATCCTCTACCACGTCAGCCTCATCCTATGATGTGGTGAAGCTGAGGTGCCTCTCGAAAACCCTTTCTGGTGCCAAGTCAGCTTCGCAGTGTTCCTTGAACAGTGACAGAGTCAGCTTCTCGTAGAAGATCCAGTCACGTGATTTCGTCACTTCGTGTGTCGCGTAGTCCAGCACGATCCACGCCTTGAATTCCATTTTGATCCCGAGATGGATGCCCCAGCGTGCCCGGTCAGCAAATTTTCCGGCCCTTGCTGTGTGAGGCCTGTACTATACCATGTAGCCGAACACTCGAAGAAGACGCGTGTCAACTTTCCTGCGCGTCCAAGCCTTGTAAGGTGAGGTGTTCTTCTCGAGGCTTCGGGATGACAGCAAGTTGTGCAGCCGAACTGCGTGGTTTATCGCAAACGGCCAAAACTTCGTTGGGATGGCAGCCTGCTTCATCAGGGCCCTCATTCTTGTGGCAAGGCTCCTGTTTGTCATTTCTGCTACTCCTTGCTGCTCGTGTGCGTAAGGCAGGGACACTAGGTGGTGCTCAATCCCTGTCGTGGCGAAGAGTTCCTTGAACTCGTTGGAGAAGTACTCCAAACCCCCGTCTGCCTGGAAGCTTTTCAGCTTCAGTCCCGATTGGCGTTCGGCACGTTTCATCCAAGACACGAAGCAGTCGAAGGCTCGCGAGCGATAGTCGATGTTGACAGCCCAGACGTAGCGAGTGCAGGCATCGATGAAAGTCATCATGTTGTTTTCACTGTGAAGCCCTTCTTGGCTAAGTATCATGAAGTCGCTGTAGACCTTCTCGAGCGGTTTGTATCGTTCGTAGCCTGGATGTAAGTCCGGGAAGGGCTTGTGTGCGAGTGACGCGGTCGGGCAGACGATGCATGGTGGGTCGGCAGTTGTCACTTTGAGCGTGTCACTGCCAGATAGGAGCAATCCGTCTGTGTTGAAGACTTCTGCCTCGATGGAGTTTTTCAGTGTGGAGTGTGAAGGGTGTCCGAGCCGCTGCTGTCATATTTCTGGCTCTGCGCAGTAGCCGACTGCCCTCTTGTAATACTTGTTCCTCTCCCCTTCTTCTCTCAGTGGTGCTCCAGGTCCCTTGTCGGCGGCGGCACGTACGTCTGCTGCGAAGGCTTGGATGGACGCTTGTTCCAGGACAGCCTTGGGGGTGCCAGCGACATCGTCCGTGTCGGCGACGTGAATCGTGTCGGCGACGTGAATGGAGTCGTCGGTGATTGGCAGAAGCTGTTGAGGCGGCGCTGCGTCTGGCCACTCGGAGGCGGGGAGTCCCTCCATTGGAACACGGTAATAGAGGTGCTATTCGTCGATGTTTTCGATCACGCGAGGTCCTTGTTCCGGTGGTGGTGCTTCCTTGGTAGGTTCGGGTATCCCCGCTGTTTCTCCGAAGTCGTAAGTCATGCCTTCTGACTCCTCTTGTTCTTCCAGCTGGTGCCGCACGTTGCCCAGTATGGGTCCCTTTCCGCCACGTCTTCAGGAGATGCTGATGTTCCCCAACCGCGTCCAAGGGGAACTCTTGCTGCTGGTGTTTCCGGCAAACCCCATGCGCCGATGGTAACTCCGGTGTTGGTCCAGCTGGGAGCAGCTGCCCCCGTTGTTTTCCATCCTCCAGTATTGGTTTGCTCTGCAGATGCTGACCCCCACTGTTTGCTTCTTGTTCCATTGATGCAGGTCCGGTATCTCCAGGAGTGGAGGTTGAAGCAGTTGGAACAGCGCGCAGGCGGAGAAGACCATTTGATGCGGGA